TGTGAAATCTTCTATATTGAAATTGTTATTATTAATATCTTATCATCCTAGTGGTTGATGAATGGTATAGTCTGGGACTCATATAGCAAGGCGCTTAATCAATTAATGAACTACAGTCACAAAATTAATTTGGTGTTTCTATTATAGGAAAACAATCAAATCAAATCCTAATTAGTTATTAGGTGATTATGACACTCGAATTTGGCAAGTATTCAAGTGTATACTAGTCTGAAGTTGCTTCTTCTTTCAATGGACTTTCTCCAGGTAATTTGTGAGGCCAATTATAAAGCTTCTACTTTTAGGATCTCGGATATTGGCTTCATTTCTCTGTTATTTAATGATTCTATTAATTTCTGTAGCTTATGTTATTTAACTCAGATATATAGACATAATTCAAATATTCTTCTGAAAGCAGCTTCAGTAGTCTTTTGTTCATGCATTGAATGCTTGTTAAGGTTTTAGTTGCTATATAACCCTTCTCAAAATTTTCTCTTTTTAATTTTGATATTTTATAGCAAGAATTTTAGAGTTATGTCCTTTATATAATAAGAAACAACTTCATCTTAATTTCTGAAAGTCTTTTTGTCATCTATCATTCAACAATGTGCTTCTTGCCAATAATTTATAGTGTATGTTTTTGTAATGGGAAGTGCCCCTTGAGGTTTGCAAAGTTGTGCCTAAAATGGTAATTGCTTTGTTGTTTAGATTTAAGAATGCAAAACATACTAAGGTCTTCTTTGAAAAACCAGTTACGTTCTTAAAAGTTTGAAATGGAGAATAGAAATTGCTATTGATAAAGTACATGAAGATTATGGACATAGTAAATTTTCTTGATAGAGACTAAATAGGTTGGAAGTTTTGTAGCCCACTGTCCATTCAGCTTTGTCTGTGGGCTTCTTTTGCTCTCCAGAGAGCAAACCAACTTTCAAGACAACTCACCTTCCCTCATTGATAGATATGGAATAGCTAGCTGTTAAATTCTTTCCTATCGAAATCATTTTTCAGTCTACAGGTTATATCTGTGTCTAAAGGTGTTGGGGATATTTTCAAAGTTTAACTTTAAACACTATGTATTGGAATGCCAGCTTGCTAAATCTCCGACTTGTATCAAATCCTTCTTGAATACATACTATTGGATCTTGGTAGATGAAATATTTTAATTAGAGTGCATTCCATATCTTAAGATTGGAGAAGATGCTTCTTCAACCCCGATCAGTGGAAAGAAATGCTTACCCTTGGTGCAACCAATATCTATTGTGCAACTGTCTCAGACATATTTTTTCATCAATCATACTATATACCATGTGAAAAAAGTTGGCACTGTTGTAAATTGAGCATATGATCTTCTCAAATAAGGTTGCCCTATGAGGAGGATAACTTAATAATCTTTTTGTCTCAAAACAGTTGAGGATATAGTCTTGTCTTCTTAAATTACATTTCAGAATCAATGAGGTCAAGTAGTCGGTTTAGCTTCTTGAATAAGTTTTCCTACACACCATAGTTCATAACTGCCGTTTTTAAAATTAATAATTCTGCAGTGTGACTTGCTGTTGTCTCTTCTATGCTCTCAGGGACGTTTCAAGTATCTGGTTGGTCAAGTCAGAGCTTTTGGAATGCTAGCTGGAGGATCTGGCATAACTCCAATGTTTCAAGTAAATAGTACTTAATTATCATGTCTATGACGCTGATATTCGAAAAGTTTATAATATTTGTTTGGATCTTTAGGTTACAAGAGCTATACTGGAAAATCCAACAGACGAGACCAAGGTCCATCTTATCTATGCCAATGTCACTTATGAAGACATCCTTCTGAAGGTATAGCTTTACACTGTTTGTAACTTCTTATACCTAAAAGATCATATGATGTTGATGTTGCATAATTCCAGAACAATTTTGTGTAGCATTTATCAGTATAAATTTCTTAGCAGTAACTTTTTTTTTTTCTGTATGTTTGTTTTACGAGGGTTTGTTGACTGTCTCATCGATCTGGTAAACTTTGTATTTCATGCAGGAAGAGTTGGACAGCCTTGCTAGGAACTATCCAGATCGCTTCCAGATTTATTATGTGCTTAATCAGGTCAATATTCTTTTTCTGATTGACCTCTTGAAGTTCCATCTACTTTTATCCAGCCAATTGCAAACACTTCTTCCTATCTGAAGCAGTTTGGATGATGATTTCATGAGAATAAACTTTTGATAACACATTTGATAAGTCATCAGCTATGTGCTTCTTTCAATGTTCTCTTCCTTCCATCATTTTCTTACAATATTTACATAATTCTATTTTTTGGCAGCCCCCTGATGAATGGAATGGTGGTGTTGGCTTTGTGTCCAAAGAAATGATTAAAGCTAACTGCCCCTCGCCAGCGTCTGATATCCAGGTATTTTGTCCAACTGAACAGATGTCATCATCTGAGTGAAGACATGCATATACGTAAAACAACAATAAAATCGTAATATGTCAACTATTAAGGATCGACTATCATCATTAAAATCGGTCAAGATCCATCCAAGCTTGCCACGAGCATTGATGGTGTTTTATATATATATATATATATATATATATATATATATATATATATATATATATATATATATATATATATATATATATATA